TCTCAGTAACCCTACTACTCATCCCAGTAATGACTTTTGGCTGGCTTATCGCCTCTGTCTTTATCTGGAAACTCGTCCCAACCCTCAGATGGGTCGAGGCCCTTGTTCTAGCAGCATGCGTCACTGCAACTGACCCAGTCTTGGCCTCTGCCGTTGTCGGTAAAGGTAAATTTGCTCAACGTGTCCCAGGACACCTCCGTAACCTTTTATCTGCAGAATCCGGTTGTAATGACGGTATGGCTTTCCCCTTTGCATATCTTGCCCTTCTTTGCATCCTCCACGAAGGCCACCATAGACAAATTGCATACCATTTTATTGTTATTACTGTTATTTACGAATGTGTCTTTGGTACTGTTCTCGGAGCTATTATTGGCTACCTAGGAAGACACTTGATTAAATTTGCTGAAAAACATAACCTTATCGACCGTGAATCCTTTCTAGTCTCTTACTTTGTCATTGCTCTCTTTTGCACAGGTGTCGGCTCCATCATTGGTGTCGATGACTTGCTTGTTGCCTTTGCCGCAGGAGCTGCCTTTTCTTGGGATGGTTGGTTTGCCCGCAAAACTGAAGAATCCCACGTTTCCGATGTCATTGATTTGCTTTTAAATATGAGTTTCTTTGTTTACTTTGGAGCAATTGTCCCTTGGGAACAATTCAACAGACCTGAAATTGGTATCCTCCCTTGGAAACTCGTCATTATCGCTATCCTTATCATTCTCTTTCGACGTATCCCCATTATGCTTTTTCTCAAACCTGTCATTCCTGATATTAAAACTTGGCGTGAAGCCCTCTTTTGTGGCCATTTCGGTCCTATTGGTGTCGGTGCAATCTTCATGTCCATTTTGTCCCGTGCTGAATTGGAACACGAAGAACCAACCCCTCTGGCCGAACTCCCTGGTAAAGATAATCCCAATTATTATGCAATTGCAACCATTTGGCCAGTCACTTGCTTTTTAATTATTTCTTCAATCATTGTTCATGGCTCCTCCATTGCCGTCTTTACCCTCGGAAAACGTCTTAATAATTTGACAATTACAATGACTTATACAACAGCAGGCTCTCAAAACCAAGGGTGGCTCTCACGTTTATCCAGAGTTGAATCCCGTACTTTTAGTCTTCGCAAAGTCGATACAGAAAATCAAAATGATTATACCACTCAGGAAAAAACTTTGGATGATACTACTGAAGATTTCCCCGTCATTGCTGCTTCTACAAACCCTGATAAACCTGGTTTACGTCACAAGCACAAGAAACATCATCATAAGAAGCAAATGCGCAGACGTGATAGTACTGCTCCTCCTCCAGTTGTTGTTGCTCTTGATCTTAATAAAGACCGCAATAGTCAGGCTATTTCCGCTCCTCTTCATGACGAAGATACCGAAAGTACCACCCGTCAAATACATATTACTGCGCCTCTGCCACATGACCAAGAACCTGGTCCCGAAGCTATACTTCCCAATCCAGAAGACGTTGCAGCCGCCTACCAGCTTGGCAACACAATTGTTTTGGAAAATGATGAAGGTGAAGTTTTGCATACTGTCAAGTCAAACCCATCTCATACTTCCCGCAGACTTTCCATTAGCAGCCGTGCAAGTGAGATTGTTGATGCCGTCAAGAACTTGGCTTCAACAGCTGTCTCGGCAGTTTCTTCATCTCCCGGCGAATCTAGTGATTCAACTACTGCTACTACTAATACTACTACTCTTGCTCCTCCTCCTCCTTCTACAACTACAACCACCACCACCACTACAAGAAGAAGACCTGTTTCGCCTCTCCCCACACATTCATCTCCACCCCCACCATCACAACCATCTCGTCGTCGGGATTCCCTTCGCAGAGGAAGTGCCTCAGAAGGTCCCGCTGGATCTCACGCAAAATCTCGCAAAGTCACTGCCTACCAACTTGATGATAATATTATTGTGGAAAATGAAGAAGGTGAAATCATTAGACGTTACCACATTGAACCTTCTGCAAATGCTTCAGCAGTTTCTTCTACAACTATGACTCCCTCAGATTCCCATATTAGCCACTCAATGCTTGCTAATACTCTCTCGCACTTTGGATTTCGCCGGCGGTCTACAGTGGCTCAGATTGATCTTGAGCGTAACACAATTGCCTCAGCGGTTGCCGGAGGAACTTCTTCCAGTGGTGCTGCGGGTACTAATGCTGCAGGACCTTCCACATCTTCGCCACCTCCTAGTGACTCGCGGCAACGCTTCCCACTTGATGATGAACGCATGCGCAAGCACCTTAAACAATTACTTATTTCTGATCCTCGTGTGAATCCGGAGGCTGCCCAAAGACAACGCACTACTACCCGTGATGATTCTGATTACTCATCTTCATCTTCATCAGGATCTGAAAGTTATTCAAGCTCGGATGAAGAAGAAGATGATGATGATGATGACGTGTCGCCAATGACGAGCAAGGCTGGGCCCAGCTCATCACGGCCGGCTTCTGCACCACCATCCTCCTTACCTGCACTGCGTCTTGGTGCAACGTCGTCGTCGTCATCCCGTGCAACACCTTCTGGAGTGAATGCCTCTGGAGCTACTACATCAATGGGCAAGTCTGCCAGCAGTAATCTGCCACGCTATGATGAAGAGGAGGAAGAAACAGAAGTTGAAAAGGCTCGGCGGTTGGCTGCTCTAGGTTTGATTAAAAATGAAGATTAAAAAAAAAATTATATATATATAGAACAGAACTTTTTATGAATTAAGATTGTTTTTTTTTAAAATTGCAAAGTTTATATGACGTATTATGAGTGTTTTGATGATGGAGTATAACTATCGGTTACCGATAAAAAAAAAAAAAGGTTAAGTTTACAATAATGATAAAGTAGATTTTAAGATTATTAAGATGTTTTTAGAAAAAAAAAAAAAACACAGACGTTTTATATTTTGAAAGAAGAGTCCCTCCCCTTTATTTTTTTTTTTTTTTTTTTAAAAAATAAAAGTTATTTTAATGATGATTTGCGTTATTTGAAAAAAATAGTTTCTAAGTGACCCAGTACTGTGGAATAAATATAAAAATAGATTTTATTTGTAAAAAAAATAAAATAAAATAAAATCTAATCAGTTTGTTATCTTAAAAATAAAATAAAATAAAAAATGACAAGATATCATTGGTAGTTAAATTTTGAAAAATATAAAAAAAAAAAAAAATTAAAAAAAAATTATAAATATATATAGTCTGTATATTCCATAGAAATTTGAAATTATAAAAAAAAAAAAACTATTTTATATATATAAAACAAACATTAAGAAAAAAAAAAACAATTTTTTTTTTATTTTATTTCTACTATCTAAATGTTTTTATTTTATTTTATTTTATTTTTTTTTGATTTGTAAGTCTAATAATATAGAATAAATAAGCATCCCTCCAGAATTCAATTTGATGACATTAAAAAGTGTGAGTTCTTTTTTATGTGATAATGTATGAATATATATATATAAAATGATTTTTAATGCTAAATATTAAAGTCTTGAGCATAAATATAATTCAATTTTTAAGAAAAAAAAATAAATATATATATATATATTTATAAAGACAATGACGATCAAGATAACAATAATAATTATTAATAATTAAAGAAATATCTAATTTCAATTCATTTTCATACGTTTATCTTATCCCCTCTCCCACTCCCACTCCCACTCCCACTCCTTCTTCTTGTAAATTAATAATAGTATATTAGGGTTATTATCAAACCCTAATTTTTTTTTAAAAATAAAAAATAAACCCCCTATTTCTTGGTAAAAACACTTAAATATATATAATAGGGAAATTGCAACAATATATATATAAATTGATTTTTTTTTTTTTTTTTTTTTTTTATTATATAAATTTATTTATATATATATCATAATTATATGATAATGCAGTGCTTCTCGCTCACAAGCGCTGTATAAGAAAATCTCTGGAGGTTCCTTTTCCCCTTCATCCCTCCTTCAATATAATAAACTATATATGATTTTGAGTGAAATTTCCATTAATGAGAATTTGGAATTATAACTTCAATGACATTATTATTAAGTTTATATTATATACAAAGATAATATGGATTTTTATATGACATACTGATAACTATATATATTAGATAAAATATCTGGTTCTTGAGATAAATGCAGATTCAAAAAATATATAATTAATTTTACACAAAAAAATTAAAAATTAAAAATTAAAAAAATAAAACAACAACAATCAAACATTATAATAAATATCTATCTAAAACCATCCATCAAAACCATCTTCAAAGCAAGACATTGGGGAAATTGTACCCTGACTCATCAACGGTAAAACTCTTTTCTTAGCCAAATCATGAATAACAAAATGATAATAATCTGTTTCAATCTTAACTCTATATTCCAACTCTGGCAACACTGGCAAATCATAATAATCATCATAAGAAATCAATACTTGTTTAATATTAGTCGGTGGTACTAACAATAGTTTTTGGAATTGAGGTGACGGTAAAGGAAATTCATCAATCTTTAAGAAAAAATATTCAAGTGATGGGAGAGAGGTTTGCATAGTAGCAAGTAAGGCTTCCAAAAATATCATAACATTTAGTTGCTTATCAAATTGCTGGCCAGTATTTGCAACCCCTATTGGATCTATAATTAACTGCATCAACACATCTAGTGCCTTATCAAATGATATATCCAAAACCTCTCCCTCCTGATCCCTAAATATATTCTTTTGATCCTTTTCCAATAATGATGTAAACATCTTTTTGAGTTCAAGCTCTGACCATTTCCCACCATCAGCAATTGTTTGTGAAATGGTATTCATTGTGCTTGTCAATTCATCCGAAAAATTATAAAATCCTGGATAAGAGTAAATGGTCAAAATAAGTACACGAAGATTAACAAGATTATTAAAATAAGATAAAATATTGACTGGTGGTGTAACAACATTCAAATCTAAATGTGTAAGTGTTTTACCTAAATCTTTTGCCAAAAATGGATTGGTATATTCTGGTTGAACTTCCAAAGTCTGAGTTGCTTTCCGTGCTCGTGGCAGTTCCAAGTACTTTATTATTTCAAAATCTTCGCAAAAAGTATCATGATTTAGGTTACACTTGTCACGGATTGATGTAACTGCTTCAATCCGCATCACCCTAGTTATAGGTATAAATTCATCATCAGGGTATTTAGGAGTCCCCAGTATCATATCACAAGTCTTGAGACTTGTTGGAAGCTTCAAAATCTCATGCACAGCTAAAGTGACTGAATAAGTGCCATCAATTGTCTTTTGAAACATTAAAAAAAATGTCAAGTGTTCAAGCTTGGGCCAATGATGAAGCCGTTGAAGAATCTCATTATATAATTCAAATTCCAAATCTTTTGTAAATAATTTCTTTAAATTTGGAAGGTCGAGATCTTTAATCACTGCTGGGTCAATAATAGTATCAGTATTCAATGACAATTCCCGTAGCGAAATTCTAAAATCTGCAAAATCCAAAAGAAAAGTAGAATCAAATTCAGAAAACCCATTAAGTTTCAGCTTCCAAAACGGTTCTGAATCATCATTCCCCCGGAAAGCTACAGCCTCCCGCAACATTTTGAAAAGATTATAATCCAAAAGGATATCAGAATCTTTAAGCCCAAATCTTGAAAATACGTCAAAACTTTTAACTCGGGGGAACAACCTAAAGTGGAATGGGGTGTCATAAAATTTTGTAAAAATAAGGTTATGTTGGTGACCTTTACCGCTTAAAACAATGGTCTTAATCTTTTCACTAGGGAACCAACTATACTTTCTTGGGTTGCCAAACACTCGAGCAGGAACTTCGTCAAAATTAGGGAAACTGTAGTCATAAGTGTCGTATCTGTCAAACGGTTGAGTTTCACCACTGCTATCAATATTAATGTATTTTTTTGTCATCATATTGTCACCTTCATCTTGATTAACAACACAGTTCAGCCATCGAAGCCTGTCATAGATATCCTTTAGTTTAATGCACGTTTGTGTCAGGGCCCTGATGTCCTTTGCTGGTAGGTAATAACTCAATTCATTAAGAACTTCAACAGGTATGTTTAAAATATGGAAAGGATCTTGGGAGTAAATATTTATGCGAGAAACTCCATCAATAATGCTCTCAGTTGTAGTTTGTTCAGTCATTTGGGGGAGGGGGAGGGTTGATTAAAGAGTTGATAAAACGGTAGTAGGAATAAAAAAAAAGAAAAAAAAAAAAAAAGAGGAAAGAACTGGTAAAGTTAAGGTAATATTATGCACGCTCCTCAGCCTATGGAGGCTCAGCCTTTTCCGCAGCTCTTGCGACCTAATAGGCAGTACTGCTGGTGGGAAAAGAAAAAGGATTTATATATTTATATATATATATATATATATATAAATCGTTATATTACTACATAAAAGTGATAATTCAAAAGTTAATGAAAGGGTTTTCAAAAAAAAAAAAAAACATGATAACAGTCACTATGACAAAAAAAAAAGAAAAAAAATGTATTACAAAATACAGTTACATAACACTAAGGTGAATAAAAATTGACTACATGTTGCGTAAATTATTTACAAGCATTTTTACAAATTTATAAAACAATCAATCAAAAAAAAAAAAAAAAAAAAAAAAAACAATTATAATGTTAAACCCATCCATTAAAGTCATCATCAAAGCAATTCATAGGATAAATAGTGTGTTGGCTTATCAATGGCAGCGATCTTTTCTTCGCCAAATCATAAAAAATATAATTATGTGAATCATAATCGGCTTTATTAGTTAGATCCATACCTGAGTATGCAGTCTTTGGAAACAAATCAAGATATTCTTTTTCATAACAAGAAATCAGTACTTGTTTAATATTGCTTGGAGGTGCTAATAAAAGCTTAAGAAATTGAAGGGACTGAGGTAGTCTTTGAAATCTCATATTTAAGAAAAGGTACTCAAGTGATGGGAAATTGTGTGGCAAACTAGCAAGCATTGTTTCCAAAAATATAATAGTATTCAATTCCTGACCATAATTCCAACCGGTCATCTCAATACTCATGGGATCTGTAAACAATTTCATCAACACATCTAGTGTTTTATTGGAAGATAAATTCAAATCCCTTCTGTCCTTAATCTCAAATATATCCTTGTAATCATTCTCCAATAAGTATGTAAACATGCTTTTTAGTTCAGGCTCTGACCATTTCCCGCCCAAACAAATTCTCTGTAAAATGGTATTTATTGTACTTTCAAATTCATAGGAAGTTACTCCTGGATAACAGGAAATGGTTACAATTAAAACACGCAAATTAATAAAGCCATTTAATTGTGGAATGACATTAAATAGTTTATTATTCCAAACATCCAACTCCATGTGGGTGAGAGATTTGCCCAAATCTTTAGCCAATACTAGATATGTGTAGTTCTGTCTCCCATTAAAGGTCTGGGTTGCTTTCCGAACTCGCGGTAGATTCAGGTACTTCATTATTTCAAAATCCTCGCTGATATCTGGACTACCAGCTTTATATTCATTTATACTGGTGTAACTCTTGTCACTGATTGACGTTACTGCTTCAATCTCTATCACGTCAGTTATAGGTACTAATCCATTGACAGATGATTCAGGGGCATCAAGTATCATATGACAAGTCTTGAGACTTGTTGGAAGCTTTACAATCTCATCCACAGCTCCCGTAACAGATATAGTGTCATTCTCAGAGTATTTATACGAGAAAGAAAATGTCAAGTGCTCAAGTTTTGGCCAATGGTGTACCTGTCTTATAAGCTCTTTATACGTTTCAAGTGCTGGGTTTTTTGTTATAACTAATTTCTCCAAGTTTGGAAATTGTAATTTTTTAATCAATTTTGACCATATATTTGCTTCCGAGTTTAGTATCAGTTTTCTTAACATGTCTCGGTAACTGTCGTAAAAGAAAAGAGCGGGAAAACTAATTGGATCATTACAAGTAATTGTTAATCTCCAAACCGGTACCTCAGGATTCTTTTGCAAGGTTAACGCTTTTGTCAAGGACCTAAGAAGAATCTTCTTCGAAAAGATTTCACAAGTCTCGTCAAGGAGAAGTTCTGTCATTATTTCAAAACTTTGGATACGAGGGAACAAGAAAGGCCGGAACGGCGAGTTATAAATACTTGAGGTGTAATTTTCATCATAGGGTCGGCGTTGAGGAATTAAAACAATGATCGTAATCTTTTTACTAGGGAACCAACTATACTCTTCCGGGTCACGAAACACTCGAATAGGAGCCTTGTCAAAAGTAGAGTAAGTGTAGTCTGCCTATCGATACTTCATCATTAACGCCATCAAGATAATTAAATTTTTCTTCATCAAAGCCCCTATCCTCATCATCATACAAAACACATTTTACCCACCGAAACTTATCGTAGACTTTCTTTAGTCGAGTACATGTTTGGGTCAGGGTTTTGATGTCTTTTGCTGATAGATACTTTTTCAACTGAGAATGAACATCTGTTGGTATGTTTAAAAAGTTACAGGAGTTTTGAGTTCTGTTATTTATATGAAAACTGCCATCTCTCGTTCTCTTTAAGTTATTTGTCATAATTTGATTGTCTATTCGGAGTTGTGGTTACAGGTATTACCAAACCGCAGTTGAAAGAAAAGGAAACAAAAAAAGAAAAGTTAAAGGTAATTTTTCACGTTCTCAAGTAAGAATTTTATGGTGGTTCAGCCTTTTCCAAAGTTCTTGCAAACCGTTAGGAAATACTTTAAAAAAAAAAAAAAAAAAAAAAAAAAGGAACAAGAGCAGAATATTTACGATAGTAGAAAAGTTGATGAAAATGTGTTTTTAAATTTTTAAAAAAAAAATATGTATGTGTATCAGAGTTACAAAGACAAAAAATATATATATATATATTACAGAATTCAATTATACAATATTATGTAATTGAATTCTGTAATACATATCTTTTTTTTTGAACGCTCATTGAAACCATCTTCAAGATCATTGAACATTAAGGAAACAATATGCGAAGTATTATACAAGACAAGATGTTCAATCATAACTTATATAAATGAGGATTTTCTATATTTTGAAGAAACAATTGTAATTGTTATTCAATGATTGATAATCTTGACTAATTCATGTTTTTACTGGTACTTGTATAGACTTTGATTTAATCTTGAAATGTAAAGGAAGTTAAAAAAAGAATTAAGAAAAAATAGCTGAAATCATTAGTTGTTTAACATTGCTCGGTAGTGTTAACACAAATTTCTGCAATTGAAGAGACTGATGTGCATTGCAACTATTCATAATTAAGGAAAAGCATTCAAGCAAGTGGAGATCAGTTTTTTTTTTTTTTTTTTTTTTTTTTTTTTTCTCACAAGCAAACATTGTTTTCAAAAGTATGAAAATATCCAGCTCCAGACCAAATTCCTTGTCAGATTTTTTCAATTCCCATTGGATCTGTAACCAATTGCTCCAACACATCTAGAGCCTGGTCAAATGTGAAATTTAAAACCGTAGTTCTAAAGTTCTTAAATAGAGAAGTTTGATAATTCTTTTCCAATAGCGAAGTAAACATGCTTTTTTAGTTCTGGTTCAGACCATCTAGCAACTCTCTGTGAAATAGTTTTTAGTATATATTTCTCAATTCACAGCAACAATGCTTCCTTTCCAAAAAGTAAATTACTTTTAAAGTAAATGATCATTGATCAAATAAACTAATAACTACCAAATTGATTCAATAGAAATATTGATTTATAAACCCTCATTTTTCATTCATTTCCTATACATATATCCTTTATTATTCTATTTTATACAGAAGCGTAAATACGCTTACGAGAATGGCGTTCGTCCTCCTCATCTTGTTCACGCTCATCCACAAACACCTTTCGGTGCTCGCGGTCCCAGGTTTCCTTAATTGTCTTAAGACCGGCAATATTGTATCCGATCCTGTCGCGCTGGTCCGCTAGTCGTTTGCGGAGCAACAATCGGGTTTTCTCCAAGCTAGCACGCGCCTTGATATTTGCAGCAATTTGGCGATGGTATACGCGCAGCACAGTAAACAGGGCACGGCACACAACTGCTGTCTTATTGCGAGTAATTGGTGCACGGTCAGAGCCTGACTGAACAGGACTTAACCACAATGCACACAATTCAAGAAGACACAAGACACGGTCCAGAGGAAGCACTAAAACAGCATCCTCGAGCTCCTGGGGGCGGATCGAAGAAAGTACGCTCAGAGCATACTCTGGGCCGGTTACGCCCTTGTGTGAAAGAATAATGTGCTGGGGCGTGTTTTCATCACGCACCATGTCTGCAGCTGCCAAATCTAGCGACTCCAAAAGACGCTCACCGGCCTTTAGTGTTTCAATCGTAGTCTTACTGGCGCGGGCCACTGAAGACTCTTCTTCGTCTTCATTATCACCAGCACGCTCGGCTTCTTCGGCATCAGCATCGTACTGAGCAGTCAAAGCCTGCTCGTGCTGCTCCTCCAGTTCGCGGTCGCGCTCTTCTACCAAAAACAATTGCTCATCTGTGCGGTGCCACACTCGTATACTCTTATCATGGGAGCCAGTCACAACAAAATCACCACTATGGGCCACAGCTAGTGCCCACACCTCACCATGGTGTCCCGCGAGAGCCTGCAATTGCTGGAAGTTGTCACCGTCCCAGTACTTGACGAGCTTGTCCTTGGATACGGAAAAGAAGTTGTGGGCTGTGTGGCCCTTAAGTTCCTGGGTATCACCGCCAGCTTCCAAGTCAGTTAGCGGATCAAAAACAACACCCATGATGCTTTCCTGGTGTGCGAAAATAGACCGGTGGCAATCGCCAAAATCAAGACCCCATAGTTTAATGTTTTTATCAGCAGAACATGTAACCAGCAGTTTGGAGTCTGTGCTAATGTCCATTCCAAGCACAGGCAGCTTGTGGCCATAGAGATCTAACGCAAACTTGAGCGAGTCAACGAAAAAGACCTTAACAGTAGAGTTGAGTAATGCAACAGCAATCACGCGCATATCTGGAGACAACCGAACACACATGACATCGTCGTCGAGTTCTAGAGTGCGGGTGTGCTTTATCTTCATCCGAGCAACAGTGCGACTTGTTCCTGGCACAGCGTCACGGACGACAGCAAGACTCCAGAACTTGACGGATTTATCAGCACCACCGGCAGTGACAAACGACTTTCCATCAGGGGAAACATGTAAGGCCCACACAGAACCACCAATGTGAGCATTCACTGTCTCCAGCAGAGTAGACGATGCCACGTCAAACAGTTCCAAATCGCCAGTTTTTGTGCCAACGACAATTAGACCATCACCTGGCAGGAAGCTGCAGCACAGAGCATAGCCACAGTCAAAAGTTCGAATGCACTGACGGGTGCGGACATTCCAGACCTTGAGCTGGCCATTGGATGCAGATGCAACCATACGGTCGTCGGATGAAATGCTAAGTGCACGGATATCTGTGCGGTGGCCTGGTCGGTCAACGCTTGAGACACGGGAATATTCGGCAGGTCCAGCGCTTTTGGCCTTGATACCTACACTCATGGGGGCAGCGACGGAGTATGTTTCAAGAGCATTGTTTGCGAGAGCAGCAACAATGACTAGGGTATTTGCCTGGGGCCGAATGTCACGGGCATTGGGATTTGCATACTCGTACATGGCCAAATCCAGTTCGCCAAAGGCAAAGTCAAAAGACCGGACCTTGGCAGGGGTACGGATCACAGTATGAGACACGTACTTTTCGGTAATGTCGTCTTCGCTCAGGGCAAACTCGCCACCATCGGCAACGTCAAGTCCACGTTCACGTCGACGCTTCAGTTTACGGGCCACAGACTTTTTGATTTCTTCTGAAGATTTAATCTTAAACACCTCGATGCTGCGATCGGCACTGGCCACAGCCAAATACCGTGGCAGGGCCACAACTCCCTCACCGCCATTGAAAACCTTGATTGTGTTAGCGCGATCGCCAGATTGTTTGTTGAGAGTTCCGAGCCGCACAATCTGGGACCCTAGGGGGGCGTTAACATCAACTTTCCAAAATGCAAGCTCCTTGTTGCCACTGCCCGTGATAAGAGTTTCGAGGGCTGGTGAGTACTCTAAGCTCCAGCAATCATTCGATGAGTGGGCCACCTTGGTCTCGACACAGTGCTGAGTTTCAAGATCCCATAGCTTGAGCGTGCCATCTTTGGATGCCGATACGAGCCAAGTCTGATCCTCGGCGTCGGCCACTTGGTCCTCTTCTAGCTGGGTTTTTGCGCGCACAAATGCAGCGCCCACAATCGCGTCCTTGTGGCTACGCAGGCGCCAAAGTCCGACTTCGTTAACCAGATCCCAAACCACGAGGTTGGTATCGCGCGATCCAGATACAAGGCGCGTGCCGGAGGCATCAAAAACAAGCGTGGTCACGGCCTTGCGGTGCGCCGATAGAGATACCTGCATTTCACCTGTCGTTGCATCCCACACCTTGACGGTACCGTCTGAGTATCCAGACGCGTGCATCTGGCCTCCAAAACTGGCGACGGCCGTGACCTCGGGCGCAGCAGCCGAAGATGTCGACGAGGC